CCCCCCCCCCCCCCCCCCCCCCCCCCCCGGGCCCCGGGGCCCCCCCCCCCCCAGCAAGCGCGTGGCAGGGGAGGGGTGCGATCGTTAGGGGGCTTCTGAAGGGCTGGAGTATTTATTCTGTCAGCTTGTCAGCAGTTAATGATAGAGCTGAAAAAATTCTGTCATGAAAAACAGTTTGAAAAGCTGTTTGAAAAATACATAGGCTTTAAAGTCTTAGCTGTCACCATGTCCTGTCTGTGTGTAGTTCCTAAACAGCGGTGGCACTAATGATGGCGGTAACCAATCAGAGGGACTCATGTGGTTAGTTTGCCTGCGGCAAGTCTCTTTCTGCTGGAGGCCCTCCGAGGACTGTTTTCTGTACTTAAGGCCATATGTGAGATGTATCATCACAATCAAAAATGAACCTGAAGATTACCTTCCTTTTATCCTGTCGATTGAAATCAAATTTCTGTTCATTGATTTTGATGGATTAAAAAAAGACTAATAATCCGTGGACTTGCCAAAGCAAAGTTCAAAAGTAATCCAGTTCTGTTCAGGCTAAAAGCAATATTAATTATGAAGTCCAGTGTGTGTGCGTGTGCCCACTTCTTTCTTCCTCTCCTTTCCTTCGTCCCTTCCCTCCCTTCCTCCTTTCCTTCTCTCTGGACTGCATTTTCCCCTAGAAAGTAGCAGGTGGACTCAACAGAGTTCTGCAGGTCCTGTTTCCGGGCCTATTCATCTTCCATCTCCCCTTTTGTCTTTGACTCATCAGCCAACCCCAGCACTTACTTCCTTCATCACCCCAACTCTCTAACAACTCAGTGGAGTAGGAGAGACCTCACATTTTTGCGCTGCTCATTCTAAACGGTTATGGCTGGGGAAACACCCACCGTCTTGACGTTACTTTCCTCTTTTCATGGCCGTCGGCCACTCTTCACCCTTTGGTGATTGACATACAATAATGGTGATTTCCGTTCCCCACTTCTCAGTCACAATCGCATCAGCCCGACCCTCCTCGTCCACCTTTCTGGGACATAAGTGAGGGCAGGCCGTCATGTGGTCGAGGACGCGGGTCGCCAGTGGAGACCTGCCCAGTCCTACCTCCTTTTCCATTATGAGCGTCTATTCCTGTTAAGTGTTTCCTTCAAAGTCCCCTGCCTTCCGCTTCACTCAGCCCTGCTGGGGTGTTGCTGATTTACATGCTTGTTTCCAGTTTATGAGGAGGAATAAACGCGCCAACTGCCAAGCTTCTCATTTGTATGGTGCCAGTTGTCACACGAGCATTCATTTCCTACTTACTCACCTTCAGGTAATCGCCTTATCTAATGCTAATAGTTTTGCCCATTTAAAGTAGAGAAAAGCCCAGGCGCTTTCCTTTGCCTAAATTTAGAGAAGCAGATAAATTCATTTCCTACTTACTCACCTTCAGGTAATCGCCTTATCTAATGCTAATAGTTTTACCCATTTAAAGTAGAGAAAAGCCCAGGCGCTTTCCTTTGCCTAAATTTAGAGAAGCAGATAAATAAATAAAGAGAAGTCTGAAAAATCTGAAACCTTTGGAGCCAAATTCCCTGTCCCTGTTTGCTATGTAAAGTATGGCTCATTTCTTTGATCTTAAGTAATAATAATTCTGAGGAGTTATACTGTTTTCATATGCTTCAAAGCTGTGTCAAAGTTTTGCTGCTTAAGGGTACTTCTTTATTCTGTTGGCTCTTGGGTACCAAGATGACAGGTCTTCTGTACGAGGTGGAGGCTTTTTTAAGTCGTAGCCTTCAGCAAAACATCAAATTACCAAATCCAGGGTAACATACTTCTACACAAATGCCTTTCCTGTAGATATATTATACCATATATATTAAATACTTTAGTGTTACACGCTACATTTTATGTGCAATAGAAAGTGATGGTTTGAGGTAGCCTTGGGGGGACTTTTTTTCCACAAGCAGAAAAAGCTAGTGTATACTGTATCAAGTATGGTTTTTACAGGACTTTCTGCCCGAAGGCCTTTGTAAATAAGTAATGATCAACAGATTGGCTGTGGGTTTTTGAAAAGCATGCCTATGTCAGTTTGCATGATGGGGGAGAATTTTCAAAGTGGATCTTGCTTTCATTGCCTGCCGGAGAGGGGCTGAGGGGAGCAGGCATCCTGGGCCGGAGCTGTCTGCTCCATGGCACATCAGAATTCTAAGCGGGGGTCAGCCGGGGAGCCAGAACTTGCCAAGCTACAGAACTCGGGCTTCTCGTGCTGGTGCCTTTGGGCTCCTGCTACAGCCACAGCTCCTGTCACCGGGGTGCTTTACCCCACCAGCCCACAGCAGTCTCCATCGCAGCTCAGCTGGTTTGGGCCATCCCATGACAAGTCTTAGACATTCCTCCTTCACCAGGACTTCCCTTGTCCCAGGTACGCTACATTCTCCATCTGATGTTGGAGCAAAGACGGGGCCCCCGCTCAGCCCTGTCTCCCTTTTCCTTCACTTCCAGCTTCTGAATGAAAGACCCATTTGGTTTGCATCTGAATATCTGGTGCTGGTGATGAGGTTGCCAGTGCCGATTTTGCTCAACCGCTCTTGTTAATTGGCAGAAATCAGAGGGGCTCACACAGCTCCTGTGGCTTCTCCAATTCTCTCCACCTCTTCAAACACCCCCTTTCTACCCCTACAGGAGATAGGACTCCCAGGTCCTATTCCTTAAAACCTGAAAAATCCATAAAGAAAGCTAATGACTTATTTGGAGTGGGTTTTTCAGCAGGAGTTTGTGGCTTGCTGTTGGAGCAGAATCAATCATTCTGAATGTGGGCAGGTTTTAGTGGCCTATGGGCAGTGATAGGAAAAGCTCCAAGAGAAACCGGAGAGTCCAGAATGGGCTAGGGTGGGCTTAATTTATCACTGCAGCTTCCGCACATAAAACAGGCTCCTGCCTAGGGGTTCCTTCCAAATCACCTGCCAGCAGGAGATGCTCCAGGAACTCTGCACTAATGGTCTTTGTCTCCCTTTGTTCTGGTATCAGGCTTATGGTGGTGTGTAAGTGTCACTTAGCTCTCCGCACAATCATTAGGTGAAAAGCCTCATTTCGTGTGTCTGGATCCTGAGGTCATGTGTTTTTTAGTCACCCTGACAGAAAACAACCCTTATCACCAGACCAAGCCAAATGTAGAGTGTCTGTTCTCCAGGCAGGGAACACCTGTGTGATGACGGATGCCACCGAGGAGCCATGAGCCATGGCGGTTCCCAAGTCCCTTACTCCATCTGCCTGCTTTTCCCTTCCTTGTTGGTCTCTGAACATGGAATTATGTAAGCAGCCCATCCTAGTTTTCCACTAAAATCACCAAGCACCGTTGCCCAGTTCTTCCTACTTAGTGGGTTTGTGCCTTGTAGCGATAGCCATGTCTGCCGTCAGTTGTAAAGCCCTGGAGGACACGAACTTTGTCTCTAAATAGATAAGTCAAGGGTTCTTAACTGAGGGGACTCACAGACTCCACTGAGCATTCAATGAAAAGTTCTCTAGAAAGTCTGTCTAGCAAAAAAAGTACGGTGGATACCATGTTGACTCCAGTTCAAGCAGTTTCATGGATTCCTGAAATCCCCATTCAGGGATCCTCGATTATAATCACATTCAGTTCATTCCACAGCCACCTTTAAGTAGTTGCATTCACAAGTGCTTTTTAGATGATGAGGATATTTCTCCATTGGGTGAGCGGTAGAGAGTAACTGCCTGGGCTCTCACACTGGGTCCTCACGTGGTACCCCAAAAGGCTGTGCACTTCAGCTGCCTGCTGGTGTTCCTTTTCTCAGATTAATTCCCATCCAGCAAATGTTTAGTGAGAGCCTACTGTGTGCAAGGTGTTGTGGAAGGTCTTTGAGGGATCTAAAGTAAGATGGGTTAGATTAGATCTCTGTCTTCAAAATGCTTACAGTTTAATGTAGGAGATAGGCATATACAGCAAAATAGAGTAAGTACGACTTGGGGATTCTAATAACAT